TGATCATTGTTTTAACGGAGTGGGCTTCCACGAAATTGACTTTTCCAAGATGAGGTACTCTGCAAACCCCCCTGCTATTAGAGATTTATCTTCTTGTTTTTTTCAGTAAAGTCAAGTAAAACGGAAATAATAAAATAATACAAATAAAACGTAATAAAATAAAAATTCTCACGACGTTTCGGCCACAACACAAGCAGCCGTCCTCAGGTGAAGACAGAGCTGTCTGAAAGACAGCGCTCCAATGAACAGTGCTTGGCAGCGTATTTTAAGCTGGGTGGGAGGAGAAGAGCGCCTTGACAAAGGAGTTTACATGTCAACAGAAGAATTTAGCATTAAATAAGCTGTGTTAATGTGAGAGAATTAGCAGGGTGTTAAAGTCAGAAATTAGCATGTAACTGGGAGATTAGCATGATGTTAATGTGAGGAATTAGCATGTAACAGGTCACGGAAGTGGCTATGTTAAAGTCAGAGTTTACATATCAACAGAGGCATTTAGTATATTGACGCTAAAGAACTGCAACCACCCACTATCATACAATAAACCGATGTGACAGAACTAAATATAAACTACAGCAATATAATCAATGTACTCAATATATTCACCAATAAGCTGAGCTATTAACAATAAATCATTATACATTACACTTAAATGTCGCAAAAATTATTATAATATGCCTCCATCTAATCTTTTTTTCTTACATCACACGACTATACCCCGTATTATAAACTGCCATTGACAGACCCCAACATTGAATTATACACTGCGTTACTATAGACTATAATAATATTAGACTTGTAATATTACACTATGTATTTTTCTAACAACCCTACTGTATACCACACTGCTGTATATTCACTATGCAATTACGATACTATATATTACCTCATGAATTATATTAAACATTACACTATTATACTATTTATTATTATACAATCTGCTATAAATGTAATGTGAACCCACTGAATTATAACAGTAATCTGCCACGGCTGATGCGTTCGTCCTACCGTGTTTCAGGTCTGCTTTATGTTCACGGATTCGGTCCGAGACATGTCGTTTGGTTTCTCCAATGTAACTGCTACCACAGAGGCAACTTAGTTTGTAGACGCCCGGGTACTGTATGTCTGGAACCACATCTTTTACAGACGGGACCAGATCACGGATTTTATGTACTGTGTTGAATCGGACCTGGATCTTGTGTTTATTTAGGATTCTGGAGATCTTTTTTGTGACCCCCGCAATGTAGGGTAAGGTGATGGTTTTGAATGGCTCCTCAAGAGGATCCTTCTTCATGGTTGGAGTGATGGCTTTGCGGATTGTGTAGTTGGAGTAACCATTAACCTTGAGAGCTTGGTGTACAGTACGTGCTTGAGTTCACTGGCAATTTTTTTTCGATTTAAAGCTTTTGTGACTGCAGGGATTCATCTTCTTGGTTCTTTCGGTAAAGTCACGTAGAAGGGAAGTAATAAAATAATAAAAATAAAACATAATAAAACAATTCTCACGACGTTTCGGCCACAACGCAAGCAGCCGTCCTCAGGTGAAAACCAGGTCTGTCGAGGCGACAGCAATGTGTTCCTGGTCTGAGATGCATTGGGCTCTTTGGTGTAGAGTCTTTATGAGGGAATTCTTCTGGGATGGATGGTGGTTGGAATCCGGTTTTAAGTAAGAATCCGTATGGGTAGCTTTCCTGTAGACAGAGTGGCTCATTGAACCATCAGGTCTCCTTTTAATTAGGACATCCAAAAAGGGTAGCTTGCCATCCTTTTCGACTTCCATGGTGAATCTGATGGTTGGGTGTATGGAATTGATGTGGTCGAGGAATTGGTCTAGAGCCGGCCGGCCATGTGGCCAGATGACAAAAGTGTCATCCACGTACCTCTTCCATAAGGTCGGGCGTAGAGTGGCAGTCTGGATGGCGTCAGTCTCAAATTTCTCCATAAAAACGTTGGCTAATTCAGTGGGTTCACATTACATTGACTTCTCCTAGACGGAGGTTCTCTGCAAGCCATCCGGCTACCATGAGAGATTCGTTCACGAGGCAATCCACATATACAAACAAAGAGACAATTTCAACCGAGAAGATGGATTCTGGCTCAGCAATCATTGAAAGGACGTGATAAACCATTTCGGGTCTTGATTGATTTTGTTTTACGGTGACTTTCAGACTGCAGTCCATTCACTGGCATTGCCTCTTAGTACCTTTCGCGCGACGGTCAATGGTATGGTTTATAGCAGATTGTATAATAATAAATAGTATAATAGTGTAATGTTTAATATAATTCATGAGGTAATATATAGTATCGTAATTGCATAGTGAATATACAGCAGTGTGGTATACAGTAGGGTTGGTAGAATAATACATAGTGTAATATTACCAGTCTAATATTATTATAGTCTATAGTAACGCAGTGTATAATTCAATGTTGGGGTCTGTCTATGGCAGTTTATAATACGGGGTAAAGTCGTGTGATGTAAGAAAAAAGATTAGATGGAGGCATATTATAACCATTTTTGCGACATTGCAGTGTAATGTATAATGACTTATTGTTAGTAGCTCACCTTATTGGAGATTATATTGAGTATATTGAAGATTGTAGTTTATATTTTAGTTTTTTATCGGTTCACTATATGATAGTCATTATATCGTGTATTGTATACCCAGTTACTTAATGTTAATAGCTCAGCTTATTGGAGAATATATTGAATACATTGATTATATTTATGTAGTTAATATTTAGTTCTTTCACATCGATTTATTTTTATGATAGTGGGTGGTTGCAGTTCTTTAGCGTCAATATACTAAATGCCTCTGTTGATATGTAAACTCTGACTTTAACATAGCCACTTCCGTGACCAGTTACATGCTAATTCCTCACATTAACAATCTCCCAGTTATATGCTAATTTCTGACTTTAACACCTTGCTAATTCTCTCACATTAACACAGCTTATTCAATGCTAAATTCTTCTGTTGATATGTAAACTCCTTTGTCAAGGCGCTCTTCTCCTCCCACCCAACTTAAAATACGCTGCCAAGCTTAGCAGTGTTCATTGGAGCGCTGTCTTTTAGACAGCTCTGTCTTCACCCGAGGACGGCTGCTTGTGTTGTGGCCGAAACGTCGTGAAAATTTTTATTTTATTTTGTTTTATTTTTATTATTTCCCTTCTACGTGACTTTACCGAAATAACCAAGAAGATGAATCCCTGCAGTCACGAAAGCTTTAAATCGAAATTTATTAGAGATTTGTTCATGAAGCCATCCAGATATTTAGACACATCTTCAACCGAGAAGATGGGTACAAACTGAGAAATAATTAGAAGGACGTTATTAACCAGGTAAAGTCTTAACTGACTGTGATGTTTCCATCCTACCTGCCTATGTCAGCTGTTATTTCTGAATTTCTCTCTCTTTCTGTGCATCTCTCTCCGATCTCTACTCCAGTGACCCGGGTGCTGCTGTGGGGTCCACTTTCTGCCCCGCCCCCTCTCTCCCCCCACCTCCTCTCTCCCCCCTACTGCAGAGGCCTCAACATCAAGAGGTAAATTAGAGCTGACACGAGGTTGGCGGGGTGCGTCATTTATTTCCACCCAGTCCACACGTACCCACAGCCCTCTCTCAATTCGTGCCCCACCAAAATGCCCCGAGCCCCGCAATGCCCCTCCTATATCTCCTCACCTGCTCCTCCCCTCTCCCAACTGTTCCCACTCCACTGCCCCCCTCCTTTTGGTGGGAATCCTCTCCATGCCCCTTAACCCACTGTCTCATCTCCATTCATACCCCTGACATCCCTAACAAATATAATCATTTGTAGGCATCTCCCTCATTTTATATAGAAATATGTTTGATATTATTTCCTGTATGCCCCGTGCAGAAGTATTCAAAAATAATTGACTTACTTATTTTTGTCCTTGGCCTCTTATATTGGTCCCTGGTGAACTGCAGACATCCTGCCATGTTCTCTTCTTGAGCAACTGCTGCCTCTGGTTCTAAGCCGATATTAGAAGCCGTCTGTAAAGTCATTTGTGCTTGGTTAAACCAATCAGAGACCTTGTCTATTGCTGTAAACTGCATGTTTCTCAATTTAAAATACATCATAACCTTTATATATATTGCTCTAAAGTCACCATACTTCAATTATCTCGTATACACTTTCTGTCAGTCAAGGCTAAGTGTTCCCATAACTTGGAGCCCTACAAATCTACACATATATATTCACCTAACAACCCCCGTATTAAATTCCAAGTCAATTGAGCTTCAGTTGAATTTGTTGATTGTGTTTGCCTGTCCAGTGCATTTGGCTGCAAGCTGCCGATATAGTTAACATCGTGCTGCTTCAAAACTCTGCTCCAATTTATAATTTTGTCATAACGGTGTAACGTGTGTACGGAGAACAAAAACAATTAAAAAAACTAATGAAGAGTTGTGATCAGGGGAGGTTTCTTCATTAGGGCGGTTGGGCGACGCACCACCAATGTCATTCAACCACAGAGTCACGCTAGCCGTCACTGTGCCTCTGGATATAGTCCAATCAGCATCATGTCACGTTCTGTGGAGTACCGCCTCTTCTTGGGCGATTTCACTCCGGCTGAGAATCGCCCCGAGTGGCCCCATAGACTTACATTCAAAGATGTTTTTTTTCGAACGGGGGGCGCTGCAATGCATTCTCTATGGCTTCCGGGAGGGCTCGCACTAACGTGCTTACGTCATCATACGTAAGCACGTTTCAGTCAACAATTTTGTTTGTCGCCACCTAGTAGAATCTTTAATAAAAGAAACTTGAGTGGATTGTATTAATAGTGAGTATAGAAACAAACAAGATGTATTGTAAGAGTCACTTTATTTTTCATTAATATTAAAGAAGTGAAGTTGCCTTTACATGCTTAAGCTGTTAATTTATCCTTTGCATGGGTGGACCTTATCCTTATAAATCATCCAGACATTTGCCCCCCCTGAGAGATTTTGCAGGAGCCGCCACTGGTTGTGATATTTCTATTCGCAGGCAAGAGAACTCACTTTCGCAGAAAACCACAACACCAGGTTTGAAACGCACGATGGTTGTATGATTCTGTGTTTGTAGTTTAACACGTAAGCTTTCACGACCAATATTATCCATAATAGAGATTTTTTGGGTTAGACCACATAAATATAAATGTGTCTCTCGATAAGTCTGCCACCGCCCGACACAGCCAATTAGTAAGGGTTGTTACGTAATCAAAACGTACAATTTCTTTACTTGTACAGCACATGGGTGTGTTGGACAGTAAACCCACGATATTTACAATTCGAGTACCGTGACGTTTTACCAGTAATTATAACTAGCAGCATCAGGTGACATCCAGAGTGGTGGATAAATCCTTGTCCTGTTTCGGTCTTAAATAGAGTGGGGTATAAATGTGATGTCGTCACTTGTGTGCCAATAAGGTGCGAAGACCAGATGTGGCGGGGGAGGTTAATGTATTTCTATAAATTATAATGGTTATCCATTAGCGGTTGGGGTTTTCATAGGTTAACCAACATACATTATGCACGCACATTATGCATGCAAATCATGCATGCACATCCTGCCGTTAATGGATGCAAGAGATCACAATACAGTGGAACCTCGGTATACAACCGCTTTGGAATAAGTCGAATTTGGTATACGTCGTGTTTTTTCGAGAAAAAAATGTCTTGGGATACGACGCGCTTGCTAGAACTTGTATGGGTCGGGATGAGTCACCGCGTACAGTACCCGCGTATGCCCCGTTCACGACTGAAACAAAGCGAGAGGGGCGGGCTGGCGTGGGGGAGAGGGGCGGGGCACGTGGGGGAGAGGGGCGGGGAGCGTGGGGGAGAGGGGCGGGGGGCATGGGGGATAGGGGCGGGGGACGTGGGGGGCTGCCCACATGGAGGGTGGAGCCCCGGGTCGAGGCGCGAGACGTGTGGGGTTGAGGCACGCCACGTGACTAGCACAGCTGGCAGCAGCGCGGTCACGTGGCTTCTCTATGCATTCTAGATTTGAAGCTTTCGTGACTGCAAGGATTCATATTCTTAGGGTTTTTTCGGTAAAGTCACGTAGGTAAAAAATTAAAATTAATAAAAGTAAAATAAAAATAAAATAAAAATATCACGACGTTTCGGAGGCAACAAAAGCTTCCGTCTTCAGATGGAACCATCACAGAACGATAGCTGTATCAAGTAAGAGAAATTCCAAGAAAACAGTTCTTGTATATAAATACTGGTTGAGGGTGGGAGGAGCCAAGGTAGGCCCTGGATATTATTATTGTGAGGTTCGGTGCGGCTGAAGCGCGCTGTTAGGAATGAGCCTTTGTTGTGTAGACTGGTTGAAATCGGAGGTTCCAAGAGTTGTTAGGGTGCGGCTGATGTAAAGGTGCGTGTAAATGGGACTGAGCCTTTTGTTATGTAGAGGTGGTGCGGCTGAAACCGCTGCCAGGAATGAGTCTTTGTTGTGTAGACTGGTTGAACTGGGAGGTTCTAAGCGTTGTTAAGGTGCGGCTGATGTAAAGGTGCGGCTGCTGTGAATGGGACTGAGCCTTTGTTATGTCGATGAAACAGCACTTTGCTACATTGCTGGGATTAATTCTAGATTTGCCAAATATGTGTGGTAAAACTTAAAGTAGGAAAACCAGTGTGTGAAAAAAGAAGAAGAAACTATATGGTAACTGAAGAATAGTGCCTGTCAAATAAGATGGTCCAAATATGTGTAGTTAAATCTTTTTTGCATGGTTAATAACATCTTTCCAATGATTACTAAGTTTGTACCCATCATCACGGTTGAAATTATGTCTGTGTTTGTATATTTGGATGGCTTCGTGTACAAACCCTTGATGGTAGCCAGGAGGTTTGCAGAGCACCTTGGTCTCGGAAAAGACAATTTCATGAGAGCCCACAGCGTTGTTGCAATGATCGGCAACGGCGGAAGAATCAGTTTTGCCGTGTTTCAGATCTGACTTGTGCTCGCGAACACGATCAGAGATATGACGTTTCGTTTCTCCAATGTTGCAATCACCACAACTGCAACTCAGTTTGTAGACTCCAGGGTATTGTAAGTCAGGAATGACATCTTTCACAAATGGAATTAGATCACGGATTTTATGTACTGTACTGAATCGGACTTGGATCTTATGTTTGTTTAGAATTTTGGAGATCTTTTTGGTCACGCCTGCTATGTATGGCAACGTGATAGTTTTGATCGGAGTTTCATGTGGCTGTTTCTGTATGTTGGGAGAAACAGCTTGGCGGATGGTGCGGTCAGAGTATCCGTTAATCTTGAGGGCCCGATGTACATGTCTTAATTCACTGGCCAGGTGGTGTTGGTCAGAAATGCCATGAGCTCTGTGGTATAGCGTTTTGATGAGATAATTATTTTGAGATGGGTGGTGGTGGGAATCAGGTTTCAAGTAGGAATCTGAGTGGGTTGCTTTCCTGTAGACAGAATGTCCCAAGGATCCGTCAGGTCTCTTCTCAAACAGAATATCTAAGAATGGTAGTTTACCATCTTTCTCCACTTCCATGGTGAATCTGATGGATGGGTGTCTCGAATTGATTTGGTCCAAGAGGTGGTTCAATGCTGGGAGGCCATGTGGCCAAATGACGAAAGTGTCATCCACATACCTCTTACACAGGGAAGGACGCAGGGTGGATGTCTGGATGGCGTCTGATTCAAACTTTTCCATGAACATGTTGACTATCACTGGTGACAAAGGGGAGCCCATGATGACCGTGGCATTGCCCTTGTCTGCCGAGAGGATGACTATGCCACGGTCATCATGGATAAAGAATCATACAACAACAAAATCCTGGACCTACTTAATGATGGGAGTTACTCCAAAATTAAATACGATCCTACTAACAGCCTAACGACAAAAACTAACAAAATCATCACGAGTTCGACTTCCCTAATCGAACCAACCAAACGTCCCTCTCTAAAACCATCGGCTGCAAAACCTCCCAGACTCTATGGTCTTCCCAAGATCCATAAAGAAGGTACCCCGCTACGACCCATCGTGTCGACGATCAACTCTCCTACCTACAAACTAGCCCGGTTTCTATCAGATACTCTGCTTCCCTTAACAGGCAAGACCTCTTTGGCAGTACTCAACTCAACCCAATTAGTCTCTATGGTCAAGGACATGGTACTATCTCCTGATGATATCCTCGTCAGTTTTGATGTTGTATCTCTATTTACCAAAGTCTCAGTACCTAACACCCTAACAATAATTGAGGACTTGGTCCAACATGGATTGAATTCGGATGTACCTGCGCTGGTTAGGCATTGCCTCACCAACACTTATTTTACCTGGAATGGCACCTTCTACAAACAGAATGAGGCTACCCCTATGGGCTCCCCCTTGTCACCAGTGATAGCTAACATGTTCATGGAAAAGTTTGAATCAGATGCCATCCAGACATCCACCCTGCGTCCTTCCCTGTGGAAGAGGCATGTGGATGACACTTTCGTCATTTGGCCACATGGCCTCCCAGCATTGAACCACTTCTTGGACCACATCAATTCCAGACACCCATCCATCCGATTCACCATGGAAGTGGAGAAAGATGGTAAACTACCATTCTTAGATATTCTGTTTGAGAGGAGACCTGACGGATCCTTGGGACATTCTGTCTACAGGAAAGCCACCCACACAGATTCCTACTTGAAACCTGATTCCCACCACCACCCATCTCAAAATAATTCTCTCATCAAAACGCTATACCACAGAGCTCATGGCATTTCTGACCAACACCACCTGGCCAGTGAATTAAGACATGTACATCGGGCCCTCAGGATGAATGGATACTCTGACCGCACCATCCGCCAAGCTGTTTCTCCCACCATACAGAAACAGCCACATGAAACTCCGATCAAAACTATCACGTTGCCATACATAGCAGGCGTGACCAAAAAGATCTCCAAAATTCTAAACAAACATAAGATCCAAGTCCGATTCAGTACAGTACATAAAATCCGTGATCTAATTCCATCTGTGAAAGATGTCATTCCTGACTTACAATACCCTGGAGTCTACAAACTGAGTCGCAGTTGTGGTGATTACTACATTGGAAAAACGAAACGTCATATCTCTGATCGTGTCCGCGAGCACAAGTCAGATCTGAAACACGGCAAAACTGATTCTTCCGCCGTTGCCAATCATTGCTACAATGCTGTGGGCTCTCATGAAATTGTCTTTTCCGAGACCAAGGTGCTCTGCAAACCTCCTGGCTACCATCAAAGATTTGTACACGAAGCCATCCAAATATACAAACACAGACATAATTTCAACCGTGATGATGGGTACAAACTTAGTAATCATTGGAAAGATGTTATTAACCATGCAAAAAAGATTTAACTACACATATTTGGACCATCTTTTTTGACAGGCACTATTTTACTATTCTTCAGTTACCATATAGTTTCTTCTTTTTTCACACACTGGTTTTCCTACTTTAAGTTTTACCACACATATTTGGCAAATCTAGAATTAATCCCAGCAACGTAGCAAAGTGCTGTTTCATCTACATAACAAAGGCTCAGTCCCATGCACAGCAGCCGCACTTTTACATCAGCCGCACCTTAACAACTCTTAGAACCTCCCAGTTCAACCAGTCTACACAACAAAGACTCATTCCTGGCAGCGGTTTCAGCCGCACCACCTCTACATAACAAAAGGCTCAGTCCCATTTACACGCACCTTTACATCAGCCGCACCTTAACAACTCTTGGAACCTCCGATTTCAACCAGTCTACACAACAAAGGCTCATTCCTAACAGCGTGCTTCAGCCGCACCGAACCTCACAATAATAATATCCAGGGCCTACCTTGGCTCCTCCCACCCTCAACCAGTATATATACAAGGACTGTTTTCTTGGAATTTCTCTTACTTGATACAGCTATCGTGCTGTGACGGTTCCACCTGAAGACGGAAGCTTGTGTTGCCTCCAAAACGTCGTGATTTTATATTTTATTTTTATTTTACTTTTATTAATTTTAATTTTAACCTTTTTACCTACTTGACTTCTCTATGCATTTTAGTAATTAGTTTCTAAATTATTTTATATAACCCCATTAATGTATAATATGCCATATAAAATATCATTTCTTTTACTCTGTAACGGATTATTTCCTTTCCCTTTATTTCTTATGGGAAAAATTTGTTTGGTATACGTCATTTTCGGTATAAGTCCTACCTTCTGGAACGAATTAACGACGTATACCGAGGTTCCACTGTACCTGTTATTGGCTGGACACAGTTAATCGACATTGACATGTGGTGACCCGTATAGGCGTTCATTTAATTATTGTTGTTAGAAAAAGGTAATTGTTACTTATTTTGAGTGACTTGCTTACCTTTCATTTAGATTTGAATTCCTAGGGTTATCTGCACTCCTATCGTGTTTTTTATCGCTTGTTATTGTTGTTGTAACTTTCTGATCCGCTCCTGCTAGATAATCTCTAACAAAACATATCTCTATAGCTCATCAGATTCCTCTAGAATAAATCAAGATTGTGATTGTTATATACAGGAAACTATACAACCAAATACTATCCACTTACTTCCACTGTAAGCGTTGAAATATTTCAAGATTGGATTCGACCTTGCCTGTCTTTCCCCTCTCATCTCACTCGACTCTCCCTTCACTCGACTCTGCTCGACACACTCGACTCTCCTACTTCTCACGTTACTCCACTTCCATCGATGCATTCTCCAACCTCTCAGCTCTAAATCTTATTTTACTCCGATCCATGTACGGTCCTAAGCTATTTGTACAGGACTTGATATGTCATCAAGAGGCCTTTTCAAGCCGAATAATACATTCTATGAAAAAAGGGCATGTATAAAATTGTAATTGATACATTGTCAACGCTAACATGTGCCCTCTGTGTCCTGTAGTTTCACCGAAGGTTCCTTCCAAAATGCAACGTCCCAAGAGCATGTAAGTGTGATGGTAAAAATTTGGATGCTGGTGCCAATTTTAAAATGGTAATTCCGCAGTTCCGCTTGTCCGCTGGTCTGTAACACGAGCTTACAATTAGCGCGCAAAAAATTGCTCTGTCATAAGTTTGATTTTTTGCATCAATTTGTGTTGCTCTTAGGGCCAGCACAAAACTGTGTGATGAAGAAAAAATGCGGTAAATGGATACATGTTTTCCCACGGCGATAATGTCACACGTCATACACATATAAACTAAAAACTAAACTTTTTATTTTACCAGGTAAGACCCACTGAGCTATCGAGATCTTTTTTAGAAGCAACCTGGCTATCACAAATTATAGCTCAACGAAGTTGCTGATCGTAATGTGGAATCTTATAGCAGCCAAATACTCTAAAGGCGTGATGTTGATTTTAAATGTGGAGGAAAAACTGGAGAACCCGGAGAAAAATCTACGCAACCATTGGGAGAGAGACACACACGCTCCAAATATATAGCAGACGTCAAGGGTCGGGATCGGGATCGAACCCACGACATCTTATATACCAAGCGAGATAGTTAACATCTTGCCAACGCAGCACCCTATGAGTTCATACCCCTATAGCATCATTATATGCACCACATCTTGTGTGATGTCATAGCTATCGCGACATGATTAATCATCATCAAAAAAATTTTGATCTACTGCTCCATGAAGGTCTTTCCAAGCTGATGACATAGCTCAGGATACTGCTATGTAATAATTCAACGAGCACTCACACAAGCGTGCATGTCATTGCTCCATCTCCTCGATTAAAGTGCCCTATGATGCGTTTCATTATTTGGCTGTTAAATAAGAATAGCTTTTATCCTTTCTGGCAATCAAACAGGTGGTGTGTTAAGATGTTCAAACACCACTTAGATACCTCTTGCAAGGCATTACGTCTGCATTAACCGCGGGTACTTTTGGCAAAATATTCAAACAAACATGCTCAGATAATATACGTATTGTCCTTGAAACTGCCCTACGCAAGAGACAGCCTTTTTTATGGCCTTGTCTTACTATCAATGTTAGACCAGGCACCAAAGCCAAAAGGCAAACAGTACAATAATAATGCAAGTATCAGAGCACTTATAGCTCGGATCGAGCAGTTATATCTATGGGATACATTTTTTGCGAATATTAAACATGATGAAAAATAAGAATAGGTTTCAAAGACAATGCACACATTATCTAACCGGTTGTGTGTTGGAGAGGAAACCCATTACAACATTTACAACTCGAGCACCGTGATGTTTCACTGGTAATTACAATAACCAGCATCGTCAGGCGACAACCGGAGTTGTGGAGAAATCCTCCTGTTTGGCTGTGTCGGTTGGTAGCGGGTGTAACGCCACATTTATACTTACACTCTTTGGTTCTTTCGGTAAAGTCATTGTAGAATTTTGTAGAATGTACCATTCCAGGTGAAGTAAGTGTTGGAATGGTACATTCTACAAACATTATACAAACAAAATGAGGGTACCCCAATGGGTTTGCCCTTATCGCCAGTGGTAGCGAATGATTTCATGGAGAAATTTGAGACAGATGCCATCCTTGTAGAAGAGATACGTAGATGACACGTTCGTCATCTGGACACATGACCTGCCAGCACTGAACCAATTTCTCAACCACATCAATTCCATACACCCATCTATCAAATTCACCATGAAAGTGGAAAAGGATGGCAAGCTACCATTCCTGGATGTTTTGATCGAGAAGAGACCTGATGGCTCGCTGGGACACTCTGCCTACAGGAAAGCCACCCACACGGATGCCTATCAAAAGCCTGACTCCCACCACCAGCCAGCCCAGAAGAATTCCCTCATCAAAACACTACACCATAGGGCCCGTTGCATCTCCGACCAGCATCACCTAGCCAGTGAGCTAGAGCACGTACTCCAAGCCCTCAGGATGAATGGATACTCTGACCGTACAATCCGCAAAACTGTCTCCCCCGCTATGGGGAGACAAACAAACATCTGAGGATCCAACCAATACCATCACTTTCCCATACATAGCAGGGGTTACCAAAAATATTTCCAAAATCTTATACAAACACAAGATCCAGGTTCGTTTCAACATAGTACACAAAATCCGTGATTTGATCCCATCTGTAAAGGATGTGATTCCTGATATGCAATACCCGGGTGTCTACAAAGTGAGGTGTGGGTGCGGCAGCAGTTGCATTGGGGAAACGAAACGACATGTCTCGGGACCATGTTCGCGAACACAAGGCAGATCTGAAACACGGTAGGACCAATACCTCTGCCAATCCTGGTCATTGTTTCCAAGAAGAAGGTACTCTGCAAACCCACCGGCTATTATCAGAGATTTGTTCATGAAGCCATCCAGATATATAAAGACGGACACAACTTAAACCGAGAAGATGGGTACAAACTGAGCAATCATTGGAAGGAAGTTATTAACCAAATATAGTCAAATCTGTTTCCATCCTACCTGCCTATATCAGCTGTTATTTCCGACTCCTTGTGTCGCTCTCTCTCTGTGCCTCTCTCGGATCTTATACTCTTAGTTCTTTCGGTAAAGTCACGTAGGTAAAAAATGAAATTAAAATTAAAATAAAACAATAAAAATCACGACGTTTCGGAGGCAACACAAGTCCTCGTCATCAGGTGGGACCGTCACAGCCAGATTAGCTGCATCAAGTGAGGGAGGGATTCAAGATGTAAGCTCTTAAGTACCAGTTAAGGGAGGAGGGGGGGAGGGGCTTATCAGAATGTGGTAGCCAATGAATGGAAAGTATCGGGAGGGGGGGGCGGGGCTAACAGAGGGACGGGGTACTCGTGGTCGAGGTCAAGGACGTGTTTGTGCGCAAGTCACTGTGGGTGTACATAATAGGAAAGGAAAGAAAATGCCCATGTTTATACGAATGTTGGCTGACAATAAAGAGAGTACTGTTAAACGTTAGGGATGTTAACACTCGGTAAAGTAAAATAGTGCCTATCAGATAAGATGGTCCAACAATGTGTAATTAAATCTTTTTTGCATGGTTGATAACATCTTTCCAATGATTACTAAGTTTGTACCCATCATCACGGTTGAAATTATGTCTGTGTTTGTATATCTGAATGGCTTCGTGTACAAACCTGACTTGTGCCCGCGAGCACAAGTCAGATTTGAAACACGGCAAAATTCAATCTTCCGCCATTGCCGATCATTGCTACAACACGGTGGGCTCTCATGAGATTGTTTTCTCCGAGACTAAGGTGCTCTGCAAACCCTCTGGCTACCATCAAAGGTTTGTACACGAAGCCATTCAGATATACAAACACAGACATAATTTCAACCGTGATGATGGGTACAAACTTAGTAATCATTGGAAAGATGTTATCAACCATGCAAAAAAGATTTAATTACACATTGTTGGACCATCTTATCTGATAGGCACTATTTTACTTTACCGAGTGTTAACATCCCTAACGTTTAACAGTACTCTCTTTATTGTCAGCCAACATTCGTATAAACATGGGCATTTTCTTTCCTTTCCTATTATGTACACCCACAGTGACTTGCGCACAAACACGTCCTTGACCTCGACCACGAGTACCCCGTCCCTCTGTTAGCCCCGCCCCCCCCTCCCGATACTTTCCATTCATTGGCTACCACATTCTGATAAGCCCCTCCCCCCCTCCTCCCTTAACTGGTACTTAAGAGCTTACATCTTGAATCCCTCCCTCACTTGATGCAGCTAATCTGGCTGTGACGGTCCCACCTGATGACGGAGACTTGTGTTGCCTCCGAAACGTCGTGATTTTTATTGTTTTATTTTAATTTTAATTTCATTTTTTACCTACGTGACTTTACCGAAAGAACTAAGAGTATGAATCATTGCAGTCACGAAAGCTTCAAATCTAGAATCTCTCGGATCTCTCCCCCAGTGACTCAAGTGCTGCTGCGGGGTCTCTCAGCAGATCTCTCCCCCAGTGCTGCTGTGGGGTCCACGTTCTGCCCTGCCTCCTTCCCCCCCACCGTATCTGTCCCCCCCACCTTATCTGTCCCCCCCCCTACCACCGATACCTATATAACCTCGTGCCACGGCAGCTCTCTCGCCTACTTCAGCAGTTTTTTCTTGCTGTAGTTGTCCCACCTGATGACGATTGCTTGTGTTGCGATAGAAATGTCGTGATTTATTACTTTTTCTACCTTCGTGACTTTACCGAAAGAACCAAAGAGTATGGATTCCTGCAGTCACGAAAGCTTCAAATCAACATTTATATTAACACGAGTTAACCCCAAAAAACTCTAAAGACTTCCTCCGACTACGTGTTAAGGCTGAGAAGCTCTTCTCTGCACGCTTTTGTGAATGATCTATTCACAAACTCTCAGCCGACTCAGTCAATAAAAATAAAAAAAAGGTTTCGTCATCAATTCATGGTCACTCGGTCACTTGTTCAACGCAAAGGATATCTAAGTAGTGGGGTTCCCTAGGGGGGGATTAGGGCTTTTTCATACCCTATCAGCAGCTACTTTTAATGATCTGGGATGTTCTTAAACGCTGTGGATGAAATCTCCTGGAAAATTCCAAAAATTTACGGATTAATAGAGCTCATTCGAGGAATTTCCTGCCTCTTCCAGAAGTGTCCATATTTATTCGAGAAGGTTATTGCTTATTTCACGAGTTTCCAGAACATTACAATTTTTTTTTTTCCAAAACCATCTAGAAATCCCCCCTACATTCAAGAAGTGTTCAATTTGAAAGCCATAGACTGAAACCTGAGTATTCATCAGCGATCTAGATTTGAAGTTTTCGTGACTGCAGGAATCTATACTCGTTGGTTCTTTCGGTAAAGTCATGTAGGTGTAATGGGTTCAATTTAGGCGCACACACTTCTTGGGAGGCAACACTCATTTATTAATTAACACAACGTTTACTCAACAGTTACTCTTACTCTACACATAGGGTGGTGACCACCGACCTACACTAGCTAACACACAATTGTATTTTAGCCGCTCCAGCGTGACCCAGCCAGGTGGCTGCTGGCAGTCCGCTCACTGTAGGTCTTCTCTTCTGGCATCTTCACGAGGTGTCTTCATTCTTCTCAGGAACAGCCCTGCTCTGCCTTCACACCACCCTTATATCTCGTCTCTCTGGCGTGGCCGGCTCCGCCCAGGCCACGCCTCCCTTCCCAGGCCACGCCTCACTTCCCAGGCCACG